GAGGCAAAACAAGAATGTTATTGAAAAATGAAAATTACATGATATTCACGAAAATCATGTGTACATTTTTTTAAATAAAGAAGAAACATGAAAAAAGTCGCCGAAATTGTAATACTTATTGTTACTTGAAAAAAGTGGTGTGACCCCCCCTTAACAAAAAGTTATGCAAACGGAAGAATACTCGTAACACTCGTTCATCTCGTGATAAATTAACCGTGTGTCACTAAGTCGTATAATTCTGATGGCTCGATTGTGAGGAGAACAATAAACGAAATGTATTCATTCAATTAACAATGACTCCGGGAGATCTTCTTAATCGGGTATGTAACGAAATAAAATGGCAGAAATACGTTCATGAGTGAGCATCGGGAACGTGAGAGTCAGTGATTCAATCGTGGAAACTGTCTTCCGTTTTCAGCGTTCAATTACCCGGGTTGTTAGGTGATTCAATATCCTCTGGAGGATGGGAATTTTTCTGTTTTACATTAACCTATGATTAGCGAAAAATGATTCCATCACTCTTGTATTCTCGTCTCAATTGAGCATCTTCTAATAATGTACTCCAAATTGCACATGGCATATCTGAACATCAGTGTAAACACACTGTCCTTGACAACTCAATTCATTAACAAAGAAATTCTCTCTTCTATTAGTCCAGGCGTCAGAGCACTAACTTTGATCAATGAACGTAATAATTCCCTACAAAGGTATTAATACGTATTGCTTGGTTTTGGCATAAGTAATAACATACTAAAAAATGATTGTCGATTTCGATCGGCAAGTTATTGTTTAAACAATGAAAAGTGGCGATTTTTTGGTTTTTCAAGGTTTTCACGGAAACTATAGGTGCTATGATAAAAATAGTTATATACAAAATTAATTTCCATAAAATTATCTAAAAAAATGCCCGTTGACTTCTTTTGTCCGATCAATCGTGTTCAAGATAAACCCGCGAAACTGCCGCCCCACGCCTATTTTGAATGTGATAATTTCTTTATTATTGTAAACAGCACTTACGAGAATGATTTTTTAATACAGAAAGTAATAAATGATGTAATTGTTAATAAAAAAAATGTTGATAATGAATTTAGCCAAAATAACGGATATGAACTGACTTACGAGAATCTAAGAGGAGGTGGACAAAATGATGATAACACAGTGGCATCACAAAATAATTATAAGTTGGTTTATTCATTACAAATAGCTTTTGTGAATTTTGAAAATTGTCAATATACTCTTCGTTTTTTCTGAGCTGGAGAGCGCAAATCACCGACATCCTCCACTGATTCAGATTCGCTGGCTGATTCCTCACTGACTTGAACGTCCAAGAATTTCTCAACATCGATGTTAATTAATTCGTCTACGTCTTCATCGATATCAATGTCGACATTTATATTGAAGCAATTCGTCCCCTGGCACCCAGTACACAAAATTGAGCAATACAGGCCTATTCTCCTGCAGCCATAGTTACCAGTGCATCCTTTGAGACATTTACATGAAATTGTCTTCAGTAGTCCCTGAGGAGCTGCGGCGTTTGTAGTGGGGATATGGGTAATAAGTCCGTTGGTTGTTTCTTTCCACCCCCAATCAGTGGGATTGAGATGATTTCCTGACCAGGCTTGAATCTGGTGATAAACTCGTAAGCTGTGTTGCCTGGCTGCTTCGCGAGTTGGAGGCAATGACGAGATATTACACCTGAGTTTATACCTGCACCCCCCCCCCCTCACTCCACTTTCTGTCCTTTTATCCCGTTTTTAGTGCAGCTGGCAAGGCAGTAGGAGTAATAACGTTGGAAGAAATGAATACGATCGATACCGCAGGTAGCAGCTACGTTAAAGCATGTGACGCGTCTAACCACGCAGTTGACGTTTGTCTTTCGCGGCTGTATCTTAAAACCGATCGATCGGACAAAAAATGTCGAGAAACATTTTTTTTATATAATTTCATGGGCATTAATTTTGTATATAACTATTTTTATCGCAGAACGCATAGTTTCTATGGAAACCGTGAAAAACCAAAAAATTGTGAATTCTGATTGTTTAAACAATAACTTGCCGATCGAAATCGACAGTTATTTTTTAGGACATTATTATTCATGTCAAAACCAAGCGATTAACGTATTAAAACCTTTTGTGGGATTTTGCAGTGTCATAAAACCCCTGACGCCTGGACTATATCACGTTGAATGCCCATCATAAACCAAGTCATGGCTAGGTAATATTTCTTTCCAGAAATTCTCACACTATTTTCCTAGTCCACAGATTCTGTAAACCCATTTTTATGGTTCAAGTATCTCTTTCTCATTGTCAGTCTCAATGTCAAACAGTAATCCCTTGAAGTTGCAAGAATTTATTCTTGTGTTGAGATCGATCGAGATAATTGACGAATGGGAAGACGAATAAAAAGTTGACTTCTGTTCATCGATGAAATTTCATTGGTTTTGTAGTCCTTGAGATGGAACATGTTATGAAAAATCATCCATTACGTTAATTACCGTGTTTTTCGTTAGCCATCAGATATTTTATCATAATTTCTTGGAATGTCACGTCACGTGAAGATTTTGTTTTCCATGTGTAGTTTAGCTAATTAAATATATATTTTAATCATTTTGACCGTTCCAAGAGTCTATTAAGAGTGAAATATGATTACAGTTGTTATTTTAGTTAATAAAGAAAGTTATAGACACCAATGAACAATGATTTATTGAAGAATAAGAGAGAAAAATCCCCTCCACATCAACTGCTGCTACGACAGAGTGAATTCTTAAGCCGCAAGTTAACAAACTCACAATTTTAAAATGTTGATATCTCCGTTATAATTAGGGCTGCCTATGATACCGAGACGATACCACGTCCAAAATTTTCGAGACAATACCAACACGCTACTCGCATAAATAAGAGTCTTGGCGAGACTTGGAATTTTTTCGGTCTTCTCGTTGGTTACAATTTATGGGTTTTAAGGTATTGCGTCTGTAGATCACAGGGAGGTGAAACGGAAAGGGAGTCTTATTGTTCTCGAGCCCTGATTCAATCGCTGAGCACGAAATTTTCCAATTTTCAAGTAACTATTCAAGTCTGCATTTGAACATTTTTTGAATATTGATTTTATTTATCAGATCGATTGATTTTTTTATCATCATCTACGGGTGTCGAATAATTTTTATTGGATGTCATTCTAATTATTGAAATAATATTAAAATGGGTCTCGAGGTGGTTAACCTGTCGAGTGTTTTCTCTCTCTCAGTTCTATGGTCCAACCGATAACTTTCTTATGATGCTCACTGACATTCCAATCACGCGCCTGCGCATGAGGGCGTATTTGCCCCGAAACTCATAATTTTCCGAATCATTTGTTCAAATAACTTTCTTATGATGCTCACTGACATTCCAATCACGCGCCTGCGCATGAGGGCGTATTTGCCCCGAAACTCATAATTTTCCGAATCATTTGTTCAAATAACTTTCTTATGAAATCTGAAAAAAATCTGAAACTTATATGTGTTCTCAAGAAAGATTTAATTTATCATCCACTAGTTTTTCTTCAATAGTTCATTATTTTTTTGGGTGCCATGGAAATTTCCCTAATTATGAGTGGGGTAATCTCGGAGGTTATAGCTGGAGGGGTTACAAAAATATCCAAATTTTCTTTTTTTTTGAGACTGAGATCTGAAAAAAATGTGCAAGAATTCTTAATGATGCAGCACACTCAGAATTTTCTCTCGTGAATTTTCCAATTTTTTTTCTTTATTTTGACTTCAGAAGAAACACCTTAAGGGGAGACGGAACCCCTTTGTCTACATCAAATCTTAGGATTGTGATTTCTCCTACAATTATCAATTTCTATCTATGAAATTACTTTATCGACTCGATTATCGCATTGTTGAGTCAATGAAGTAGTTTAATGAATAAAAAATAATTATTCAGTGGCACCTCTCGGTTGACATTTTGAAAAATCTTACAGGTGAATCTCGCATGGGTCAAACACAATATATATATATTAATAATATATTCATTCACTTAAAAATTGTAGATCTCTCCATGTGCACCTGTTAAATTTTTTTAAAATTTCATGGAAGATATTACAGTGTAAATCTCATAAAAGTGAAATTGAATCGAATTTAGGGAAAAAATGGTAATAAATTTTCAAGTTTTAAGTAGAATTCACGGAAATTCATGAGTTTTCTGTGGGAGTGAGATGGAAATTTCACAACTTAATTGAATTTTCAATGGAACATGAATATTCAGAAACAAAATGACATAAATTTTCAATTTTGCCCTGAATTTTCCGGATGTTTCTGAATTTTTACAGAATAATTGAATTGAAAAATCAAATATTTTATTGATTTCCAGATCAGTTGAATAGAAAATCAATGGAATATTTGATTTTTCAATTACCAGATTTCCTGAAATTTTAGTGGAATTGTCATTTTTTTAAACAATCGTTGTTTATAAATAAATAATTTAAATTGTTTAAACTTTCGGAAACCTAATTTGTTTAGGCATATGAAATCGATTTTTGGTAAAATTATGAATATAAATAAATTTCTTACGATTCTGAACAAATGATTTTTATGGTGGAAAATTGATTGTTTATAAATTATTTATAGAAAATGCTCGTAATTTTCAAAAATTGCAGTTTTTTAATTATTCTATCAATTTTCCCCCAAAAGCAAACTTTCAAATTTTTTTCAGACTTCTTAAATGTTTTTTAACGGCTCAATATCGAGATTCAAATTCAGACCAGCAAAGTTTAAATAATAAAATCATTGTAAAATGTTTGGAAACTTCGGGGGAAATGGGGTCCAAATGAAAGCTCTGATGTTACACTACCAAAGTAGAAGAGGATATTTCACTCATGAAGAATCTCATGAAGGTCTCTATTCTTCATGATTTCACTGGAGAAAAAATAAGCCAAAGATCACCATTTCAAGATGAAAAAAAAAAAAACTCTGGAGGCGCTGGCATCGCCCCCTCATCAACCATTCTTCCCCGACTCCATTCCAAGTCGGATTCACGAATGATACCAACAGCAACAATTGCCCTCGCTCGCTATTCTTCCTCAACAATAAGATCCAGTCATGTAATGAAATCCGGCATCAAGGCAAAAATTAGAGGTACCGGCTCATTCTGAATCGTAAATATTTTCTTGTGAGGTTTTGTCTACTGTTTCCCGCCTTCTCCACTACAAGGTTAGGTTCTTTTGTTGTTATTTCCAAAGCAGTCGAAATGGTTATTGTGGTGTTTTTGTTTTTGTGAAGGCACAACAATAACACAAATTTTCCGACGTTAATTGATTTTTTTTTATTTTTTGCAGACTGCACGGGAATTGGATGTTTTGTTGAGTGAATGAAATAAATCTTGTGAGAGGAATTGTCGATGGGAGACATGGGCAATCAGGATCGCACGAAGAGCCTTCCAAAACTTATTCAAGAAGATGGAAAGACTTTAGAATCTTCAGAAGAATCGGCATTTGTTCCAGGTGAATATAATCTTCATATCTGATGAAGAGAAGATCCGAACATTCATGATAATTAGGACCGGTTTAATCAGCGATGAATGGAAAATGGAGAGAAAAGAATAGAGGGATTTGAAGAAAAATGTCAGAATCATTTTTTGTGGAAAAATTTAGGGATTAAAAAAAATGTCTTGCAGATTTTGTCTCTTTAAAGTTGTTCGCAAAATTATTTATGAGATATTGGATTCAGTCTTTTGCAAATATCTTTGAAACGTTTTTGTTAAAACAAAAGTATGAAATTATCATTTTTGTAGTTTATAACATTGTCTGTAAAAAATATTTTTCGACATTTTTCTCTCTATTCATTAATTTTAAAAATATTTGCAACCGCATTTGGAGGATAATCTGTGCGAAATAGAAATGGAAAACTATTTCAATAATAGTTTCGAAAAACAATTTTATTCGGAAAAAAAATGTAGAGAAATTTTTTCTGTTCTGAATATACAATTTTAATTCCATTCTGATGATGAGAAGATGCGAAAATTCATGAAAATTGGGACTGGGTTTATTCAGCGATGAATGAAAAAAGAATAGAAAAGAATAGAGGGATTTTAACAAAAAAGTACAGAATTTTTTGTGGGAACATTTATGGATTACAAAAAATATCGTGTAACTTTTGTCTATTCAAAGCTATTCGCAAAATTATTTATACGATATTGGATTCAAAGTCTTTTGAAAATGTCTTTGAAACTTCTTTGTCAAAAGAAAAGTATCAAAAGATCGTTTTTGTACTTTATAAAAGTTTCTAGAAAAAATATTTTTCCACATTTTTCTCTCAATCCATTAATTTTAAAGATATTCGCAAACGAATTTGGTGGATAATCTATAAGAAATTGGAATTGAAAACTATTTAAAACATATTTTTGATACTATTTCGTTTGGAAAAAAATGCAGATATTTTTTCTGTCGTTCATACGATTTTTTACTCTTGTCATTTTCCTCTAGGGTTTGAAAAAAAATGTCAGAATTATTTATAAATGTCAGAAATTATTTATAAGAAATTGAATTCAATTTTTTTTTCAAATATCTTTGAAACTTATTCGCTAGGAGAAAAATTTCAAGACATTTTTCATTTCGTTCATGAGATATTCAACAAAAAAAGTGTTCTAATATTTTCATCTCAATGCATTAGTTTTAAAGATGTCTGTAACAGATTTAAATTCCGATATTTCCATAGGATCTCCTCAGAGCTATGAAAGTTAAGGAAAAATATCTAGAGATTTTTGTGGAGAATTTAATGGACAACGAAAAAGATCTTTTTTTTTTATAATCGTCTTGCGTCGAATTTTCATGCAGTCGCCTAACAAACAAAAGAGAATTGGACACCATTCTATGAAACATGAATAAAAGAATCATAATTGACCAAATCATTTAGGTCAGAGGAAAATAGAATAAATTGGGACATATGATTCCCATCGTATTGCTTTTTTCCACGAGAATGATTATAAACAATTTATTGAAAAAACGAATTTCGAATCGGACAGGAAAAAGGGCATAATAAAATATCTTCAAAACTGTAACATTAAAAAATATATCTCTTGATTTTCCCCTTCAAACCAATAACTTTAGGGATATCAGCAAGAAAAATCAAACCCAAATTGCCATAAAATGTAATTATGAATTTCTTTTTATCAATATTTTCTATATTTTCAGAGATGGATGCGGAGGGAAACGTCTCATCCTCTCAACCCACATCAAAGAATGAGGAGAGTATCCTAACAACGGTTACAAGGCCCAAAAGATTTGGTAAGAAAAAGATAGTATATTCACCATCAAACTCTGAAGGCAGTGGAAAGGATGCGAAACTGAATAAACGAAGAGATGATGTCGCAAAGGGAAACCATAGGCTGAGATTAACTCAAAATCAAAATGACGAAAGTACAACGTCAGTTGGCTGTGAAAGATGTGACACTACATGCTATTTTCTTGAAGATAATGGATCCCAGGGATGGAATCTGAAAATTCTCACGGGAAATGGTAATAATACGACTTATTCATATTTTATTTGAAAAATATTCAATTATTTGGGATTACCAGGTTGTAAAGGAGAGTAAAAAAAATGTAGTAGTAGAATTATTTTATTTTCAAATAATTTTTAATATTGATTTTTTTAATATTGCGTTTACTAAGGTTTTCTTCGAACAAATTTAATTAGAATGAGCAGCTAGAATTATGACACTATCTCACATTTTGGAAATGATGATCGATTGTTTCACTTCGAGCAAGTAATATTAATATCCAAATACTAAATTTCTGATATGAATAAAACGAAGCTGTGACTCAGTATTACAAATTAAGTTTTAATTTTTAATTTGGTACTGAAAACACAAGATGACAATATTTTAAGCACGGAATTATATTGATGAGATGAACAACAGACTAATTGAATTACCGTGTGCACTAACTAAAAATTGCTAACAGTGTGGCCACGCACTTTTACCAGAGTATCAATAAACATTGAATTCCAGAAATTCACACTCTAAAGTGCGTTCTAGAAGAAATTGAATTGTAATTATGATTAAAATCTTATTCAGTGAGTCTAGGAATTAGAACATGAGCAAATCATTAATTGTACACTGAGAGAAAAACAAACACGTTGTCAAACAAATGTTGTTTGGACCAACAAAATCACTAGTTGAAAATTGCCAAAAAAGAATTTGTTTGGTTCGAATTTGAAAGTCTTAAACATGAATAATTGTTCTGCTCTCGACAGCAACGAAATATTTGGCTCAAGAGGCGGATAATTCACACCAGACGGTGCCTTTTCAGGATGAAAATATCTCATATAGAGGACAATTTGCTAACAAATATTTTATCCCTAAGTTTCAAGATTGCTATCATATCATTATTATTGTTTCATTTAAGGGTTCATTTGTTATCTGTGATTATTAGACAGCCGAAACGAAAAACTACTATCCCTTGTTTCTCATGAAACAAAGATTTTTCGGGAGGAAAATACATATGGGAGTATCGAATAACGAAGGAATAGTGCTAGAAATGACATTTCTTACGTGTACAGAGAATGTCTTTTTTTTTTTTTGAACTACTAAATCTATTTTTGCGATAAAAATTTTTCATTCTGACGCACTCTCTCCATATTTGGCACAAAAAAATCCTTTTTTGATCATTTTGAAAAAACTATTTTATTGGCACAAGTAAGACTTGTTTGAGAACTTTATCGTTTTTCTCTTAGTGTAATATGAGAATTTAACAGCTGATAAATTGGGACATATGATTCTCATCGGTCACATTGTTTTTTGCAATGAGAATGATTATAAATAATTAAGGCCCGGGTGTACTATCTTTCGAATGTTATCTGGATTTTTTTTATCTTTCGTAATCCAAAATTGTCAATTGAGTGGTACATAATGTAGAAATTCCCAAAAATTATGATAGAATGATTTAAAAAAATGGAAAAAATTCTGAACTTTTTCAAAGAGCGTTTTTAATTGAGATTCAGAATGAGTTGAAACAAGTGGAAATTACAAATATCTGATTCGCTGTGGCAAATTATCTATTAGCTTTCATTTTCCATGGTGGATAACAAAACAATAACTCCTCATGGCAAGTGACAGCTAGGTATTTCAGTTTTCAAAACAGTGGTATGTAGCCATCTGCCATTTTTATGTGATAAAACTGTGATTAAAAAATTCTCCAAAATATTACAACTTTTTTCAAAGAGCCTTTTCCGTAATAAATGTCTGTGTGCAGTATGGGAACAGATTTACGAAATCAGTCTTCCCCCTGCATGATATTGGGTGACAGGCCGCCACTTGCCACCAGATGACGAAAGATGAAAAAAAAAACATCGAGATAACGTTCGAAAGATAGTACACCCGGACCTTAATCGAAAAAAAGAGCCTCGAATTGACATAAGGGGATATAACATTATTCCAAAAAAGGCATAATGTTATATCCCCAAACTCTTCATTCCCTCCAAAAACAAAAAGAAAAAAAATTATTTCATTTTTCCAGAAGCATCAAAGTCTCAACCAATTGTCAACATATTCTCCTCCCCCCCGGGACAATCAAGAAAAAGGAAGTTCCAACAACCCCTCGACTCCCCCCCAAACAGCCCAAAACTTCTCCACAACAAGTCTACCTTGAACTACAGAGAATACCCAGGAAAGAATCGGACGTCAGAGCCCCCAATCTGTCAAATGTGCCAGAGGATTCTCTCCTCCTCTCTCGACCTCCAGCCCTCCGACTGTCTGGACTGTCCCTTCATCTGCTACTCGAAATTCCCCACCCGAGAATCCCTGAGGTGGCACATAATAAAGGTTCACCTCATCTGCGGCTGCAGGAATGACAAGCCCCATGCAAAAACCATCAATATCGACTGCCCCCTGAGTTGCAACTGTCCAATCTGCGATGAGGAACTGTCGGTGGAGAATTCCCTGCAGAACCACGTGTTCAGTGTCCACGACATCGTCAATTTCTCAGATAGGAGGCCTCCAGACGAACCAGCATACCTGACAGTCCCTCAGGATCTCTTCACCAGGAAGTGCAGAAGTACCTGGGGAAATCGTCAGAAGGGCCGCAATGGAAGCTTTATCTGTGATATCTGTGCCATTAAATTCTCGTCGGTTCGAGACTTGTTCCATCACTTCAACAAGAAGAACCACACGAACTATGTTGAGTATCTGAAGACCTTGGGGAGAATTCCAAGAGGTTGGTGATCATTATTTTGTTTTATTTTGAGAGGTGAATGTCCAAGTAGCTGATGAGTTGATTGTTGATTAGCAAATATGATCCCAATGCCACGTGAATATGCAGTTTCGTGTTGTAATGATCTCTGCGATCTAGTTCGTGCAAGTGTAGGTGTTCAATGAACATTATTATTCATTTAATTACGAGGGATAGGAGTCCAACAACTGGGACAACTAGTTGAACACCATCGTCAATGTTGAAATCTCCTTAGTCTCGAGTTTATCGGAAAATTTTTGTACTAAAAATTGTTTCATGCCTCAGTACAGTGTACAATCCCTTCAAAATATTTTCTTTATGAAAAAAATTGATCCAATTTTGTTATATACATATTTTTCGGTCATCTCTGGCTTAGAGGTTCAGCTAATGAGACATTCACCTCACCCCCTAATCATAATACATCATAATTAACAAAATTCTCTTCAACTCAAGAATTAGATGCTGACGAACCCATCGTAGATTTGCCTCAATCATCACTCAAGAGACTACGCAACCCCAATGAACCGGAAACGTGTCAACTCTCTCCTAAGAAATTGGTCCGAGGAGATCCCGAATTACCAACCATCATTCTAGCGTCCGAAGAGTGCGACGCAGCTATGGAAGACTACCTCCTGCAAATAAAAAATCATCAGGAAAGGCTGAAATCAGCGACACCTGATGACTCCCTGGAGGACTACAGAGAGTACGAGTACCTCGAGTTGGATGACTCAGACGAATCCCCCAAAACCGTCACACTATTTTCTACAGACTCCTCAGAATTGCCTGAAGATCCAAAAGACCCACCTCCCTCCTCCGAATCAATCCTGGAATCCCTCCTAACTCCCGATATAACAGCCACAGACTCAACGGCCTCTGAAGAGTCAAAATTCCCCTCCATCACCTATCAAACCTCCCAAAAATCTCCCCGAAAATCTCCCAAGATCATTCAGGATTCGAGAACCTTCGACGAAAAGACCTTGCTGTACCTCGAAAAACTCCAGAAGGATCACAAATCCCTAATCAAAGTCAGATCTATGCTAATATCAAACAAACACTCCACACAATCCATCCTAGACACAAAACCCGATCTCAAAATAAAATCTCTCAAACTGCCACCAGACCTCGTCCCTCTGCCCTCAAGAAAAATCCCAGCCCATGAGACAGAAAAAGAAACGTCCCCTAGATGTCCAAGATGCAAAAAGCTCTTTGACTCTGCAATAGATTTAGCAAAACATCGCATTCTCGTGAGAGAACTCGCGGACAACAAGAACCCCGCCCTTAAATGTGTTGAATGTCACAGGTACTTCCAAAGCCACCACATTCTTCACACCCACAAGTACCTCGTCCATAACGACGACTCAGGTATCCACATCTGCGACAACTGCTGCAAGATCCTAACGACAATATCCATGGTGAACGACCACCAATGCATCACCGTCCCATCCTTCAACTGCAAAACTTGCATCAAAACATTTGAGAGTTCTAAAAAACTCCTGCTCCACAATCAGGCTCATCACCTCGAGGGATCAGGACCCCATTCCTGTCCCATTTGCCAGAAAAACTTCCTCACGGAATCCATGATGACTCGTCATATGGAGGACATCTGCTCCAACAATTCCAAGATGACTGACATCACTGAAAATAATAACAATGGCAGGGATACTGACAGGAATTTGGTGAAGGATACATCGAAATTGCATCGCTGCAACGTCTGTCAGTATCTCTCGGCGACTTCCGAAGAGTTGTTGGAGCATTTGGAGAAGATCCATGCTCTCGAGGCTTGCAAATTATGTTCGAAAGTGTTCGGGAGGGACGAGATTCTTCATCACATCATGATGGACCACCTCCTAAGTAGAAATGAGACTGAACATGTCAGTGAAGATAAAGACGTGATAACGAATGCCAAGAGATTCGTCACCGCCTCTCAGGAAGACATCATGATATCCGTATTCGAGTACTCGAGATATGAAAAACATTCCCAACCTTTTGAAGTCCTTTGTCTCAAGTGTCTCAAGAGGTGCCCTGATACTCACAGTTACCAGTATCATAATGCAGAAGACCATGATCCCTTCTGTATTTTGTGTAATCAAAAGTTTGATCAAGTCTCAGAAGCGTTCAAGCATAAGAATGAGGTGCACCAGTCTGTGGAAAATTACATCTGGGTCGTGAGCAGAATTCTACTCAGTCTTTCTGACTTTAGGGAGGGTGAGGAAGAATTTATGATTGATCTTTTGGAAGAGAAGACGAAGACCACTCAGGCGGAGGGACAACAAGAAGTCGTCAGTGAATTATTGAAGGAGAAGATGGAGACGACTCATGAGAAAGCAGAGGGTAAAACAGAGATTGTTGGCGACAGCATCGAGGGCTTTGGGGGAAATCTAGAGATATTTGTCTTTGACACTGCTGGAGATTTGTGGGAAACGGTTGAATGAGTATATTTTGGATGTGTATAGAGAGTCAGTGATTGTTTATTGAAATTTTTTTTAAATGATGAATGAGCTGAAGAATGTTGGTGTTCATGAAAAATTGTCATCAGGTCTAGGAGATTTTGGGATTATTATTTGCGGAGATCATGAGGATTTTGGGTGAGATGAAGATGATCAGTCATTTCGTGGGATTGAATGTTCTAATGAAGGGGTAAAACGTAACAAGACACAACAAAACGACATCAACATGTGGAAAATTGAGTTGATCTTTCGTATCTTGTTGAATTAGTTCATCTTAACAAGGGATATTAGGGAAAATATCAACAAAAAGTTTTTATTGAGAATTAATTAGGCTTGACAATTGCTCCTAAAACCACTTGATTACGAGATCAATAGATTATCAATAAAAAATGAACAATCATGTTATTGCTTTACTTTTTTAATTGAAAGAAGGTGAAAAAAAAATCAATCTGCATAAATTATGCATATCTCCTGATCAAATGATCCTATTGGGATAAGTCAGGTCTCATTTTGAAGCTTGAAAAAATACCTTCAAAATGAAAAAAATCCTCGAACTTCACTTCGCCAATCTCGAGTAATTGATCATTAAAAACTGCACGTTTATCCTTCTCTTTTCTAACTACTTCATCTCAACGAAGGATTCTAGAAGTAAACGTCAAGAAACTTATTTTTTGGAAATCGATTCGGGAGTTGAATGAATAATTAATACAGATTCAGTAACAGATTTAACCCGATTTACCCCTTTATTATTATATTCTTTGACCTTCAACTCTGATAAATCTGTTTGGACATTCCACTTGGGTAATGGAAGATGGAAAAATTCACTTCACGTTTTGGTAAAAAATAAATGAGTGGGACATAACAGAAAAAAACGGGGTGTTTTTTCACATAATTTGAAGGAAAATCATCTTGATGATGATTCATGCATCACGAGAGAGCTTCAACTCCAGTGCTCCTTTGGTATTAGATGTTTAAGGTATCTCTTATTGCAGTTAAGCCATTTCGCATGGCGATAGAAGAGTTATTACTCCAAAGAGTGATATTAGAGATATAAGAGAATTTTTAGTCGTTAAGATAGTGTTCCACGTGCTGGTCGAAGACCCAGGAGAGGAGGTGCGGGTGGAGTGAACCCTTTTTCATTTGTTTGCGTGTTTCAACTGATAATATCGTGGAGCATGATACGAGCCTGATGAAGGGTGCCCCAGTTTGCCCTACTCCTCAGTATTTAATAAGATATTTTTTGTAGTTTTGATATTCAAGTCGTTTTAAAGTCTAAGAAGATGTAAGGTATGTTGTCAATGAGCAATGATTTTGTGAGAGTTTAATGAGGAAGGAATAAAAAAATGATGGTGAAGTAAATCAATTTTTCTACTCTATTATTGGGGATAGTTTGTTGTAAACAAAGAGATTCGGTGAGAATTGTGTGTTGTTTGGGGATTAATATTACGAAATTGTTTATTGAAGTGATAAACACCAAAATTATGGAAACGAATAGTGAAGATTCCATCTTCGAAGTGGAAAATTTACAGTAGTTGTTGAAAGAAAACAGTTATATTTTTGTCAAGTTGTCTAGTTGCTGAGTCTTTAATCTTTATTTTTCTTGTAGAAGTTTCTAGATAGAATAGAATAGATATTTTGGTTGAAGGAATGAGAGTTTGAGTTTAATTTTTATTGGTGAATAGAATTATGGAGAAAAATCCTCTATTATAGAGTTGGTCTGCAATAAAGGATTGTGCTGATTGACAACTTTTTATTCATCTTATCATTGATCAATCATTTCAATCGATCTCAACAGAAGAATAAACACTTGCAACTACTTTAAGGAATTACTGATTGATGTTCAGACTGAGAAAAAGGCAGTTGAACCATGAAAATGGGTTTATTGAGTCTGTGAACAGAGGAAAATAGTGTGAGAACTTCTGGGAAGAAATATCATCTAGCCACGACTTGGATTCCGATGGGCAATCAACGTGATAGAAGAGATGATTTCTTTGTTAATGAGATGAGTTGTCAAGGACTCTATGGTTACATTGATTTTCAGATATACCATGTGCCTATTTGGGGTGCATTGTTGATGAAAATGGGAGATTTTCAATTGAAACGAGAATATAAGGGTGATTGAATAATTTTTCGTTGATCGTGGAGTGCAAAGGGGAGATAGATTACTCAACATTTCCACATTATAATATACGAATATGTGTATTGATATTCATAGCATATCATTCTTTATAATAAAGTTCCATTGTTATCTTTTCATATATCTATCAAGAAGAATGGCCTCATTGTTAGAATTTGAATCCCCAGAATAGTTTCTGAATTTGCAATTTTTATTTTCGTTACAGAACTTTCTTCACGAACTAAAATAAAATATCTGGATTGAAACGATGAAACACTTGCGTTTAAATTTCATTGATTAACAGAATTATCGAAATGAATCTTCTATCATAGAGTTGGTTCACAATTGATGATTGTAAGAATTGATGATTGGGGAATAAACATGAGAGAATAGATCATTTTTTCGTTGATGAGTCAAGTTATCAAGAACTGCCTGCTTACATCGATTTTTAGATATCCCATCTGCTATTCGGGATGCATTACTAGGAGATTCTTAATTGAAACGAGAATACTGTTAGAATTTTACTTGAACAGAGGTATTGAAAGGAACCTAGTGAGCCCCAGAGATAATATCGTGAAGAAGAGTCAGAATAACAACTAGGGGTTCGATCCTAAATTTTTTCCTATTTCGCAGAATAGTTTCTGGATTTGCAACTTTTATTTTCGTTATAGAACTTTCTTCACGAACTAAAATAAAATATCTGGATTGGAACGATGAAACACTTGCGTTTAAATTTCATCGATTAACATAATTATCGAAATGAATCCTCTATCATAGAGTTGGTTCACAATTGATGATTGTAAGAATTGATGATTGGGGAATAAACATGATAGAATAGATCATTTTTTCGTTGATGAGTTAAGTTATCAAGAACTGTCTGCTTACATCGATTTTCAGATATCCCATCTGCTATTCGGGATGCATTACTAGGAGATTCTTAATTGAAACGAGAATACTGTTAGAATTTTACTTGAACAGAGGTATTGAAAGGAACCTAGTGAGCCCCAGAGATAATATCGTGAAGAAGAGTCAGAATAACAACTAGGGGTTCGATCCTAAATTTTTTCCTATTTCGCAGAATAGTTTCTGGATTTGCAACTTTTATTTTCGTTATAGAACTTTCTTCACGAACTAAAATAAAATATCTGGATTGGAACGATGAAACACTTGCGTTTAAATTTCATCGATTAACATAATTATCGAAATGAATCCTCTATCATAGAGTTGGTTCACAATTGATGATTGTAAGAATTGATGATTGGGGAATAAACATGAGAGAATAGATCATTTTTTCGTTGATGAGTCAAGTTATCAAGAACTGTCTGTTTACATCGATTTTCAGATATCCCATCTGCTATTCGGGATGCATTACTAGGAGATTCTTAATTGAAACGAGAATACTGTTAGAATTTTACTTGAACAGAGGTATTGAAAGGAACCTAGTGAGCCCAAGAGATAATATCGTGAAGAAGAGTCAGAATGACAACTTGGGGTTCGAGCCTAAATTTTTTCCTTTTTGGGGCATTCCACGCTTTTTCAATGAAAGCATTTGTCGACTTACGAATCCGAAAATTTTAAAACATTTATATCTCAATAACTACGCATTTTATGTAAAAAGTCCAAAAAGGCTTAATTATTGGGAAAGGATGGTTAGTTATAGCAAATTTTGCTCAGGAATGATTAATATTTTTGCAATTTTTAAAATAAGCAATTAAAAAAACTGTTGTAGTTTCATGAGTTCCATTCGGAAAAATCTGAAAAAAATATATGTTGTGGCAAATGTTGAGAAAGCTGTGTCAAATTTTTATTTAACGACATTCACTGATCGATGAGATATTGATTTTTTTATGAACTCCTGAGTTCAAGCGCTCCCAATCCATTGAAACTTTTGCTTCCTGGTAAATTATGAGCATTTTTTCGTTGGAAGGGATTGAATAATTATGAAAACTTTTTTGTTTGTTTAAAAACAATTGAAAAATTTTATTATTAAAAAAAAATTGGGAAATTAATACGAAATGACCTTATGAATAGTTTTGAAACCCGCTGAGGGGGGCACTAAACGGCAGAGACGTCATATGACTTCATTAAAAATTACATCTCACGAGTTAGTGAATGTTATTAACTAAAAATTTGACACAGCTTTTTCAACAATATTTCCTACAACATTTTTTTTTCAGAGTTTCCCGAGTGGAACTCACGAAACTGCAACGGTTTTTCTAATTGTTTATTCAAAAAATAACAATAATATTTGTTTTGTTCGATCGAAACTTTTTGTAAAACGAGGATCTACTCTTTCCCGACGAAAAAGCTGTTCATTTTTTAAAATAAAATGCATAACAATTGAGATATAAATGTTCAAATACATGCGTTTAGTTGTCACTCACTCCAATTTTACAATTGCTATAACTTTGACAAAAAAAAAGTCTTCGCGGGAAAAATTATTGTTGGCCCTCTGCAAGATATCAAATTTTCATTAAAAAAAAAATTTCCTCGGTTGAAATTGTGTGGAATGCCCTATTCTTTTTCCTACCTAAATTGTTTCTTTACTTTTCCCGTATTCCTGAGGAAAAATGGTACGGAAAACATGTCAAATAGCGGATCGTCATTGAAACATTTTCCCAATCTAATCGTGGAGTGAAAACTCCTCATTCCAGTCAGACTAAAAGCGTTCACATACCACGTGTTGATCTCCCGCTCCTCCTCCACCTCTTCCACCCCCTCAGCCAGGCTAGTAACTGGGGCAGAACGGGTGAGCAGCTGACGAGCCTTTTAACTCTTCCACCGCCATCTGCCTGAAATTCCGGGAGTCGCTCCATCGTCTTTGTGTTTTCATGCTCCCAATTCCCAAAATCCCCCCTCGAAGGCTCAGTCCCCGCCGTGGCCCGTGCGATCTGTCCCATGTCTGTTCTCTCTCGGCCACAAAATAATCATCAACAGTATCAGTTCATCATCATCAATAGTTAAAACGTTTATTGAACAGTTGTAAAAAATGGCATCTAGTGATTGTGGCACGAAGAAACAAAAATTGAGCAATTCCTCGAGCATTGTTTGCAATGGAACAGCTCTTACCAATGGCCACGGGACTAAAACATTATCAATTGTTCATCCTGAGATGGGTTTCTATTGCTTCGATGTTTTGTATCATCAGCTGCATCAGCTTGATCCACCAAAATCACCTGCCTTTAGCAACGAAGCATTGTGAGTTGATTTTACTATTTTTCAGGGGTAAAGAGCACTTCAATTTATCTTCGATATCTCGCAAACTGACGATGCGATTTTGACGAGTCTGCGCTCATTTTAAAGATTACGAAAAAATCTTCAAAACGAAAAAAAGTTGGCGATTTTCACTCAGCCAATCTGGAGTTATTGGAGATTTTAAGAAAGACGTTTTGTGACGTCTCTGGGATTTTTAAATTTTTTCTTTTGTTTTTGGGGCATTGCTCCGAGGGCTTTTGTTCTTTGGTTTTTGCTGCTAATTATTTTTCATTGTCTTTGATTGGCTGTTACGTTCTCACCCTCTCAAGGCCATCTTTATCTCTGTCTTGTGTTTGGACGGAGACGACATCTACTGCATCTGTTCATGAATTTTCCTTTGTTTGGATTTTATTTATTTATTTGTTTGTTTTGGTGCCTGGGAGGCTCTAGTTGGTTGGGGAGTCGAGCCGGGACCTCTGGGGGGTCCGTCTGAGGTGGGGGGATGGGCGGGAGGGTTTCTGGGGAGTAATTAGGGGGAGGGAGGGGCTTTTGGTAATTGGGTGATAACTGTTTTTAAATTGCTGCGTAATTAAAAATTAATGAGAGATGGGATGGGATGATTAGCGACTAGGTTTTAGAGGATTTTGGAAGTGGATGGAATGTCCAGGATTTTTTGGAGGATTCTGCAGTGGGAATAAGAAATTGGGTACTTAATTTCAGGATAAATATGTCTGAAAAAATTTCATAGAGAAACCTAGCGAATTCGCTAGACAATTCTATTGGATTTCTATTCAAGTTTCTACTAGTTTTTGGCCGAATAAAGAATATTATTATTACATAATAATCCGACAAAATTTTTCATCGCTGATTTGAATTCTTTGCTATTTTATTTATGTATTCTATGAAAATATGAGGATAGGAATCGAATGGGTATTGGTTCATTATTCGAAAAAATATATGAATTATAACATTTTTCCAAGACATTGAAAAATTAAAAATTCTGCTTTCGAGTTGATCGCGTTTCACTTCCTTCTCTCACTTTCTTCCATCAGAATTAGATCATACAAAGAAAATACATCAATTTTTCTTCATTATTCAAAAAAAAGTTTTGAAATTTTCAAGATTGAAAAATCGATTTTCATCTTGACTTAAATTTCAATCAATGTCGATGGATAGGGCTCAACAATATTTATGTTTGTAAAAAATACTTAATTCCATCGATTCATTAGCGAACAATTAAAGAAGTTTGTCACATAAAAACATACAGACGGTTTAAAAATGGCCTATTCGGACTTTTCCGATCATAATAGTGAAAGACTCGTGAGATGTAATAATTATGAGTTTATTCATAAAATAAGAAAAATGTGACGAAGAAGGAAAGAATTAAAGACATCAAACTAAAAAGAACAAAATAATAATAAAATGAGTAATGTGAACTTCAGAGAAGAGGTTTTAAAAAGAGAAAGAAGAATGTACGCATGATAGAATGCAATTGATATGCAATTTGTAACATTACTCCCACCTCTGAATGAAAAATTGTCATGCCGACAATCAAAAAAACCTATTGAGAGCACCAGAAATATAAATATTGAAAAACCCAGACGGAAAATACAAAAGAGAATAGGTATTGACTCGAAATAATGTTTTATAAAATTAGGATCTTGTAGTAATAAATCAGGATCCTGTTATTGTGGTCATCAGTCTCAGAAAATAATCTAAAAAGGAAAATTGAAATAAGGGAGAATCAAGTCTAAAAGAAAAAGAAAAAGAAGTTGATTATTCTCTGAACAAAATTGATATGATAGTTGCAAAATCTAAACAATAATTTAAAAATTGTCTCTTCAGAAATGATGGCCATAGATCAACAGAAATGAATCAGAGAATAATCATCAATTCAAAGAATAATAAAAGAGAAAACTTTAATCTTCAAAAGGAGCAATCCGATTGATATGAAATACCTTGGGTCTAGAATGGGGAGATTTTTTAATGCAGTAAACGACGTCATTCAACCTATTTTTAATGGTGTAAGGCCCTTCCCAATCACATTGAAGCTGAGGGGATTTCCCCTTAATTCTGTGAGGATTATAAAACAAAAGTTTTTGATTGGGTTGAAAGAAAATCATGAGAATTTATATAAAATTTCGATTTTGTTCGGTCGCTCTTAATTTGAAGTTTATCTCTAACATCATGATAAATAGCCTCAAGTTGATCTTTAAAAGGTGACATATTCAGGGAGAGATTCTGAGTGACTATTAGGAGGACAACATCTAGTAAGATCTACAGGAATTTTCAATTCACAACCCATCATCAACATTGCTGGGGTATATTCAGTGTAACCCAAATAAGTGGCCCATTGCGCAGGTCTAAATCAAGTATAGTTTTTTTGCTGAAAATTAGAAATTCGCTTCCGAATGGTAAATTGAGGAAGTAGGTATACCAGCCACGAAACCTTAATATGATCCCTAAATGTCACAAATGTCTGATACTAGCTAAGAGACGCCGACTAAATTAAAATTAAACTGGTTTAAACCTCCACTGGACATCGATTAAAGCTTAACGAAACCTTGGTTAAACCCTGATTAACCTCCGACTAAATCCTGACTAAACCCTGATTAAACTCTGACTAAACCCTGACTAACCTCCAACTAAACCTTGGCTAAACTCCGACTAAATCTCGACTAAAGCATGATTAAACCTCGATTAAATGCTTCTTAAGGCTATTATTTCAAAGCAAATGATGCGATCGCCACTATCTTCTAACTCGATCGAGATAATCTCCAAACGAATGTTTTAAGCCGTAGTTGAAAAGATTCCGACCATTATTTTTTGCATGATCGTCGAAAAACTAAATTTGGAAAAAAGCTCACATGCATACATACATACTGACATGATCTAAAACAGCATATTCAAACTCCTGAGACCAAAATTAGTCATCGTCACACCAAAAAATGGAAATTTCAGATTTGACGAATACAATGCTTCCATTCGGAGGCAAAAATCCAAAACTTAAATTCGAACGATTACAATGCTTCCATTCGGAACCATTACCACAGTATAAAATGAAAAGTTCACCATTTGGCTCAGAAAATTATTCTAGCACTGACATCCTAATCCTCAAAAAATTTCAGGAACGAAACAGTTACGACAGTCAATAACTCATCATTTCCGTAATTGTTTGTAGTCCCCTATTTGTGACGTGGATGATCGGCAAAGACATGAGGTTGAGGGGTTGCATTGGAACGTTCAATGCAATGCAGTTGCACGCAGGGCTCAGGGAATATGCCGCTACAAGGTAAAAATGTAAAAAACGAGAGAGAATACTGTCTATCCATTCCCTTCATCGATTTCGCTCTTGTGTGCACACTGACGAGGATCATGATTTCCTTGATTTCACAGCGCGTTCAAGGACTCCCGGTTCAACCCGATAACCCGAGATGAGCTTCCCCGATTACATGTCAGTGTCTCAATTCTTCGACACTTCGAGGATGGCGTGGATTACTTAGACTGGGAATTGGGGACTCATGGTATTCTCATTGAATTCCATAATGAGAAGGGGAATAAGAGGACGGCCACGTACCTGCCTGATGTCGCGGAGGAGCAAGGTAACTATCATCTGAGAAAATATTCTGAAAAAATTGGTTTTCTAGAAGAATGATTAGAATTCAGCTGCTTTTTCCACCTTCTCCTTCAAAATATCAATGATAACTTCTTGTTGCCCCTCATACTGAGTGGCCGTCATCTGCTCTTCCAAAAGATCAATCATTAATTCTTCCTTAACCTCCCCAGAGTCTGAAAGAGCGAGTAGAGCTCTGCTTACGACCAAATGTCAATGTCCACAGACTGGTGCACCTTATTCTTATGCTTGAGCACTTTCGAGACTTGATCAAACTTCTGATTACACAAAATACAGAAGGTATCATGGTCTTCTGCATTATGATGCTGGAAACTGTGGGTATCAGGGCACCTCTTGAGACGCTTGAGACAAAGGACTTCAGAAAGTTGGGAATGTTTTTCATACCTCGAGTACTCGAATATGGATGTCATGATGTCTTCTTGAGAGGTGTTAATGAATCTCTTGGCATTCGTTGTCACGTCGTTATCTTCACTGACATGTTCAGTTTCATTTCTACTTACAAGGTGGTCCATCATGATGTGATGAAGAATCTCGTCCCTCCCGAACACCTTTGAACATAATTTGCAAGCCTCGAGATCATGGAACTTCTCCAACAACTCTTCGGACGTCGCCGAGAGATACTGACAGACGTTGCAGCGATGCAATTTCGATGTGTCCTTCACCAAATTCCTGTCAGCATCCTTGCCATTGTTATTATTCTCAGTGATGTCAGTCATCTTGGAATTGTTGGAGCAGATGTCCTCCATATGACGAGTCATCATGGATTTCGCGAGGAAGTTTTTCTGGCAAATGGGACAGGAATGGGGTCCTGATCCCTCGAGGTGATGAGCCTGATTGTGGAGCAGGACTTTTTTAGAACTCTCAAATGTTTTGATGCAAGTTTTGCAGTTGAAGGATGGGACGGTGATGCATTGGTGGTCGTTCACCATGGATATTGTCATTAGGATCTTGCAGCAGTTGTCGCAGATGTGGATACCTGAGTCGTCGTTGTGGACGAGGTACTTGTGGGTGTGAAGAATGTGGTGGCTTTGGAAGTACCTGAGACATTCAAGACATTTAAGGGCGGGGTTCTTGTTATCCGCGAGTTCTTGCACGAGAATGCGATGTTTTGCTAAATCTATTGCAGAGTCGAAGAACTTTTTGCATCTTGGACATCTAGGGGACGTTTCTTTTTCTGTCTCATGGACTGGGATTTTTCTTGAGGGCAGAGGGACGAGGTCTGGTGGCAGTCTGAGAGATTTTCTTTTGAGATCGGGTTTTGTGTCTAGGATGGATTGTGTGGAATTTTTGTTTGATATTAGCATAGATCTGACTTTGAGATCTGAGTTTTTCGAGGTACAGCAAGGTCTTTTCGTCGAAGGTTATCGAATCCTGAATGATCTTTGGAGATTTTTGGGGAGATTTCTGGGAGGTTTGAGAGGTGATGGAGGGGAATTTTGATTCTTCGGAGGCTGTTGAGTTCGTTGCTGTTAAATCGGGAGTCAGGAGGGATTCCAGGATTGATTGGGGGGGAGGGAGCTGTGTCATTTGGATCTTCAGGGAATTCTGAGGAGTCTGTGGAAAATGTTGTGACGGTTTTGGGGGATTCGTCTGAGTCATCCGGCTCGAGGTACTCGTACTCTTTGTAGTCCTCGAGGGAGTCAGCAGGTGTTGCTGATTTCGTCCTCTCCTGATGATTTTTTATCTGCACCAGGCAGTCTTCCATAGCTGCGTCGCAGTTTTTGGACGTTAGGATGATGGTTGGTAATTCGGGATCTCCTTGGACCAATTTCCTAGGGGGGAGTTGACACGTTTCCAGTTGATTGGGGTTGCGTAGTCTCTTGAGTGATGATTGAGACAAATCTACGATGGGTCTATCAGCATCTAATTCTTGAGCTGAAGAGAATTTTGTTAATTATGATGGATTGTGATTAGGGGGTGACGTGAATGTCCCATTAACTGAACCTCAAAGGCAGAGTTGGTGGAAAATTATTATATGACAAAATTAGATCAATTTTTTTCATGGAGACAATATTCTGAAGGGATTGTACACTGTATTTAGGCGTGAAACAATTTTTTTTTTAAATCTTCCGATAAACTCAAGAATAAGGAGATTTCAACAGTGACGATTGTGTCTGACTAGTTGGCCACTGAAAATCGAGTTGTCCAACTGGCTGAACCAGTCATGTCTCAGTTTTTGGGCCCCTATCCTGTGTACTTAAATGAATAATAATGTTCATTGAACACCTACACCTGCACAAATTAGACCGCAGAGACCAATTAGGATCAATTACTCGTTTAAGTGGAAACGTGCATTTCTCTACATAATTTATTTCCTTCATGCGCCATATTTTCCAATCAATCAGCAATTGATTCTTATTTCTACACGATACCCCATTCATAATTTCTCTTTGTTCTCCAGGATGGGACCAGATACAGACAATAGACTCCCTCCTCCACAAAGGTGGCTTCAAGGGCCTAGTGACTCCTGAAATTCGTCGTAGTTTGAAATTAAAACGTTACCAGTGTGAAAAAATAACAGTCAGCTATCAGGAGTACATGAACCACTGGCAGAGCCGCAGGTGCTAGCAAATCTTCAACAAATACATTGGCAGCGGTGTACATTACAATAATCCATTACATCCAATGAAAACGAGTCAGGATTGCTCCTTTCATTGTTATCGTGGCTCAAATCATTCGGTCATTTCGCCAGGGTCTCAAGATTTCATCCTCCAGGGGACATTACCAGCGTCATGCAGGACTGGGTCCATGAGATCTGAGGGAAAATCGTCATTCGGGGAATTACGAATTGCAATAATCCCTTTCACTCTGGAGTTGAGGAGTTTTCGGGGAAATTTAGACGATACAAATGACACTGGCGGCGATTATTACTTTAGACCTTTCGCTGGTTGAAATGGTGCCTATTCCTTACTCAGAATTCAGTCAGATTTTTTTGGAAATTTGTTGTGCGGAATTTCAGGGATTGAATTTTTTAGATGAATTGGATTATTTTTGGGATTGGGAAAAAGTCAATTCGATTTTGTTTAGTGGGAAATTGTCTTGGGGCAGGAGCTTTTGGGGAAGAGAACTTCTTCTTGGAGGAGAAAATTTTCAAAGAAAAATGACTTCGAGTTAGTCGCTATCGAGATAATTCTAGGGGTAGAAAGAAAAGAAATTGATTTAGGTATGATTTTTTACAATGCCAATGTATTCTAGCCTCAGAGTATTTTTGAGATTTATTTCGAGAATTTGGAGAATAATTAAATTTATGAGAATTCAGTTTTTTCGAGAGAAGAAACAATTATCAGTTGGCGGGATAGAATGAATTGAATTTGAGATTTGTGGTTGTTAATTTTGGTTTTATCTCGTGAACGAGTGGGTTTAAGAAAAAATGTTATAGGAAGTTTTTTGTAGAGGGCAAAAGGTCTAACTAAAAATATTTATCGATATTTTTGCGTCAAATTATTCCCTGTTGAGATAATTTCACTTTTAACAATATTTAAAGAAATAAACGTATTAAATTTTTCCATTTAATTTTCAAATTGAATAGGTATTTTGTTGATTCCCTCATGTTCATTCATAAAGTTTTTATTGGGATTAATTTCCAAAATTGGAGAATAATGAAATTGGTGAGAATTTTTTTTTTCAAATAGAAGGAACAAAAGTGACGAAATTTTTTTTTTTGTAGAGGACAAAAATTCCAACAAAATCGTTCATTTCTTCTCAAATTCACTCTCAATGAAATAGTTTCATAAAAAAGTAAATAATGAATGAACGATACTCCTCAATCCCAAGAAAATTTCTGCTCTCAAAAACTCGCAAATAAAATCTTAAAAATTGTTTATAAACTCTTAAAAAAACAATAGGACAATTTAAACAATTGTCTGCTTCCCAGAATCCAACGATTCTATCTTAAAAAAACTAAACAAAACTCTCAACTCAAAAATTTCAATCAGAAGACGAATTTAACTTCATGAATTCATCGTGTGTCACTGTCAAAGCTAGAACTTTCTTTGTCTCTAGTATAAATTAAAAATGTTTCTATGAAAATCTGTTGCTTATTCACGTGGTAAATACCACAGAATTAAACCCCTAAAATCCGTTTTCGATTCTTCCCAGGTGTTTTCGTTATTTCAATAATAAATCATCAATCAAGAAAAATTATAAAAAATGTACTAGAATTTCTCTTGAGCCAATACCATCGAATAAAAATAATTAAACTAGATAAAAACCCATTTTGTATTTCGGGAATAAAAATCAGGGCTGAAGTTTGGCCCCAACAAATGTAAATAAACAAATAATAATTTTGGAATATGTAATGAATTTATTCGATGCCATTGACACGAGAATTCAAAATGTTTGATCATAAATTCGACAATTTTCGTCTCGTTGGGATGAACAAATTAAAAAAATACTTTTCATAAAATAAAAAAATTTATTCAGTAATATTTTACGTAGGAGTGTTAAGATACTAACAGGCAGACGATCTCATTGTGATTATTTTATCATTGTAATTGCCAATGAATCACAATACGAAATGCAGCTGTTGCATCGAATTACATTGAGGCTCATTCCAGTACATGATTAATTAATTAATTAATTAATTAATTAATTAAAAATTCATGCGGTATTGGTCAACTGATATAGAAGAGCAATCCAAAAAAATCTATGAAATATTAGCGATAATTCGATTAAAAAATTTCTCTTCATTTCCGGAATTTTGTGCAAATTATCTCGAGAACAAAATTATAGTTGAAAATTAATTTTAAAAAATTGCACACGATTAAACCCCTGAAAATCCGCTTTCGATTCTTCCCAGAGGTATTCATTAATGCAATAATTAATCATAAATCAAGAGAAATTATAAAAAAATTTATTAGAATTTCTCCTGAGCCAATACCATCGAATAAAAATAATTAAACTAGATAAAAACCCATTTTGTATTTCGAGAATAAAAATTAGGGCTCAAATTCGGCCCCAACAAATGTAAATAAACTAATAACAATTTTGGAATATGCAATGAATTTATTTGATGCCATTGACACGGGAATTCAAAATGTTTGATCATAAATTCGACAATTTTCGTCTCTTTAGGATGATCAAATTAAAGAAATACTTTTCATTAAATAAAAAAATGTATTCAATAATGTTTAACATAGGAGTGTTAAGATACTAACAGGGAGACGATCTCATTGGGATTATTTTATCATTGTAATTGTCAATGAATCACAATACGAAATGCAGCTGTTGCATCGAATTACATTGAGGCTCATTCCAGTAAATGATTAATTAATTAATTAATTAAAAATTCATGCGATATTGGTCAACTAATATAGAAGAACAATCGAAAAAAATCAATGAAATATTAACGATAATTCGATAAAAAAAATTCTATTCATTTTTCGAATTTTTTGTAAACCATCTCGAGAAAAAATTATTTTTTTCTAATTAAAAATCAATTAACAACAGACAAAAAAAATGTACTTTAACACTGATGAATTCAGCCTCCTGTAAACACGAGAAAAATTATCAATAAAACAAAAATGACGAGTGAAATGAAATTTTTATTCTTTTGGACACAAATGTTGATAATTTTTCCTTGTAAATTCGTGTGCTAATGCTTCGTGTTATAATTATTATGATTTCTCTCGCTTTTAATTAGAGAGATGATCCAGCTGTGGTACCCAACAAGCTGGTTTGACTCACTGCCAATATATCCATTGTTGTACCTATAGACAGCGATAAATTATTGCTGAATAACTTTATGGAGAATAATAAATGAAACGGTTGTATTTGCTGATTGATGTTATTAATTCGGCTGTTCGTTACTTACTCCGATTGAATTTATTATTAGGTAATGCTTGAGATCTCCATTGATACCACGAGTGTTGAATCCTCAGTAATGAATCCAATCAACTCCCAATTTTAATCATGTAGTGGATATTTAGGTGGGATATTGTTTAATTAATTAATTAACAGAAAAAAATACCTGGATTTAATAAAGGCATTACCATTCTAATGGAAAAATGTTGATTATTGATGTGATGTATGTGTCGCAGTCACACGAGTGTAAATTTTTCATTTTAAATTGAATTTTTCATTGATATCTCTTGGAAATTAATTTCGACGATCCGGTAAAAGGAAAAATTATGCTTCTGACGAATAAGGATTTAATTCATGAATGAGGAGAAAAATTCTTATTCAGTGGATATTGATTGATAATTGAGACTCAGACTTTGAGGATGAAATTTTAAATAATTGTTACATACCTTCGGTTGCGATTTAATCTCTAGCTAAATAATGGAAATGAATATTTCACAGGAAAAATTTGTAATCCTTCACGAGAATAACATAAATATATCAAATATATGAATAATAGCACCGTGTATCACAGTGAGTATAAATAAAGTAAAATTTTCATACTGAAAATTGAGGAATTATTATTTTTTAAAAACTGAAAAACAATTTATTAACGATTTTTCCATTAACGAAATGAAATGCGGATTGGGATGTGGAGTCTTGTGGCTCAATTGGGTTTCTCTGGTGCTACGGATTGATTTTGCTTTTTTGGGACTCTCGATTGCTCGAAGAGGTGATGTCTGCAGTCACGAATGCTTGGAGTAAAGGATTAAAACTGTAAATTACTTAGTGATTAATTTTAAAATATTCTAGTGTCTGATGCTTGGGTTATAATTTCTTCGGTTAATAATCGAGACTCAAACATTGCTATTTCATCTCTAGCTAAATAATGGAAATAAATGTTTCACAGGAAAAATTTGTAATTTTTCCCGAGAATAACATAAATATATCAAATATATCAATAATAGCACCGTGTATCACAGTGAGTATAAATAAAGGAAAATTTTCATACTGAAAATTGAGGAATTATTATTTTAAAACAACTAGAAAACGATTTATTAACGAAATGAAATGCGGATTAGGATGTACAGTCTCGTGGGTCAATTGGGTTCCTCTGGTACTGAGGATTGTTTCTGTTTTTTCTTGGCTCTCGATTCAAGAACCTCTGCCTCTGCAGACAACATTTTCAGCTGGATGTTGAGGAGAGACTCCTTCTCCTTATAGGTAATGAATGCAGCTGCCAATGCTTGGAATAAGATTACGACTAGGAATTTTTCTTTCGCAGACTTGACGAATTTCCACCAAAGTTTTATGGTTCCTTTGTAGTCACCCCAGTGGGGCAATCTATATGTTCCATGTCTAGTTGAGTGCTGAAATTAAAGGAGTATAAACATAACTTTGATGAATTTTTTTTAAATGCACAGACATTTCCTCTCCTTCATGTGTCATTAAAATATGAAGACACTCAACAACAGACGATTGAATTGTTAAAAAAACTAAAAAATTAATTGTCCATAAAATTTACCAGGAAATTGGCGAGTGGTGAGAGTACCAAAGGATAAGTGAATCCAAATGCAACTTCAAGAAATATGGCTTTCTGCTGCAGACACAGAAGACATTGTGTTTTGTTGAGGAATATATCATGGGTGACAAACTGTAACAGAAAAAGGAAATAATAAATTGAACGATCTCCTGAAATTCTCCCGTCAATAATTCGTTCAAGCGGTATAAACCTTAGGTATAAGAAATTTATCGGTTCAAATTTTCCAAGTTTTTTTGTCAGATTTAAAAAAAATGTAAAGAGAAGAAAAATAGAGTGGAAAAAACTTGGAAAATTCGTGTTCAGGTATTTCTATAGAGACTGTCTCAATAGAAAAAGAAAGATAAAATAGAAAGATAAAAATCCACTGATTTTTTCTATAAAAAATAAAGATTTTTATCGCCCAAGAAATAATAGAATTTTCAATAGAACTTGAATAGAAATCCAATAGAATTCTCTAGTGAATTCGCTTTCGATATAGTACCATAGCATGAGAAGCACTGATGATGATTGCAGGTGTCAGTCCCATGGTCAAGCTGGTCGACAGCTTTCCATATGTATGTAATTTCAATTGTCGTCTGAAGTGTCCATTGATGGCCAGACCGCCAATCGTTCCAGCGGCTCCAAGCAACGGTATTCCAAGCCGAAAAGGCCATCTAGGAAAAAAAAACAAGTAAGAACACGAATGAAAAAAACTCAATAGAAAAACTAATTCGAAAACTAATTCGAAGAATTAAATCTAAAACGAATTCGCTAGAAAAGTCTATTGGAATTCTCGTAAAATTCTATTTGTTTTAGCGCTGATTCTATGAGATATTTGATCGGAAAAAGTCAGTAGATTTCGATTTTTCTATATGAATATTCTCTTGGAATTTTTTCTATAAGAATACTTGGGTATGAATTTTCTAAGTTTTTGTCACTCGGATCCTGTAATGTGAAATAAAACAATGTATTGACTTTTCTTTATAAAAAATACAATAGAATCTAATAGACCAAAATTTTTCATTCCGGCGCACTTTCTACATGTTTGGCACAAAAAATCCTTTTTTTAATTTTCAAAAAACCATTTTCTGGGCACAAGTAAGACTTGTTTGCGAACTTTGGCGTTTTTCTCTCAGTGTATGATGAATATTCTCTTGGGATTTTTTCGATAAGAATACTTGGGCATGAATTTTCTGTTTTTTTTCACTCAAATCCTGTCATGCGAAATAAAACCAAAATATAGTGGAAGAAACTTAGAAAATCCGTGCCTAATAATTTTAATAGAAAAAATCTCAAGAGAAAAATTCAAACAGAAAAATCTAAATCTGTTGACTTTTCCTATCAAATATCTAATAGAATATGCGCAAAAAAAATCGAATTTTAACGAGAATTCCTTAGAATTTTAATAGAATCCCCATAGAATTTCTAGAGAATGTGAATAGAATTTTCTAGTTAATTCACTGTAAAGAAATTTATAAAGAAAAAAAGAAATCTACAAAGAAAATTCATGCGCAAGTACTTTTATGGAAAAAATTCCAAAGAGAAAATTCATTTACAAAAATCGAAATCTATTGACTTTTTCCTATTAAATATCTCATAGAATCAGCATGAAAAACAAATAGAATTTTAAGGAGAATTCCCCAGAATTTTGATAGAATCTCGATACAATTTTCTAGCGAATTCGCTAAGTTTTTCTATTAAATTATTTCATACTGTACCGATGAAACATTGGAATTTAGCGAGTCAAAAATTTTTTATAGCCGAAAAAACGGTTAAAGAACAACGAATAGATAGATAACGGGATTAACAATCTAGTTAATTAACTGATTAGATGTGCAAATAGGAATCTAAACGAAATATTTAGTTGATTTGATGGTGAAATGAACGATGAATGGATAATCAAGAACGATATGAAAATAAACGATAATTTGTAGTTTAATAGGATGCAATAGTTTCAATTTTTTTTTAATTTTTCGTTTTGTGAAACAATGGGGGACTTACGCTTCTGTTAGTTTGGGCCATGATCTGATTATCGTCCACTGGTGTATGAGAGCATCATTCTCGTTAACCAGAATAGCCCCTTTTGGAACTTCACTTACGGACTGTGTTGATCGCAATGACATTGTTTACGGTTATATTCAACAATTTGTCGAGAGCGTTCGACACTTAGGATCATTGCATAACCTGGGAGGCCATGTGCGCAGTCATGTTGAGAATTTCGTGCGGATAATTACAGAGGAAATAGTATGACCCCAACGGAGGGATGGCGCCACGAAGCTCAATCAGCTGATCCGCTTAAAGTACTTGACGATCTGAAGAACCTGGTTAAATCAATTGTCTCACGAATCATTACCCCAACAGCGACGATTAATATCATCATAGACGATATCTCCAAGCATTTGGATCCAAACCCGTACTTGGGACATGCTTTCGAGCAAGCATTGAACGAAATCGCTTGTGATCCAGCTGGGAAGAAGATTATCAATTAGTCACTGAGATACTGACTAATTTACAAAATTTAAAAATTGGAATCTTCAGTGAAAGGATGAGAGTATGAGCATTGTTTAAAATTGTTTTCTCTAAATGGAAATTTTATAAAATTAAGAAAAACGATAATATACGAAATTTGGTATTTTCAAATGGAGGGAAGAAATCTAGTGATTTCACAGCCGGAAAAGTAGATTTCTTACACTCCATCTGGTGACGAACTTCGGACGGCATATGGCAACACTGCTCGGCAGTAGCAGTCCCGCTGTCACAGGAATAATTTCGTAGGGGAATTTATGGGTTCCCGCACTTATTCCCTAAGGAAAAAAACTTCCGGAAAAAAGTTCTCGGAATTATTTTTTTCCGGAAAAAATTACTTGGGAAATTTATTTTCCGAGAAAAAATTACTTGGGAATTTTTTGTTTCGGAAAAAATTACTTGGGAAAATTTTTTTCCCGGAATTTAATTCCTTTTTTTTACTTCCTTGGAAAAAATGTCAGAAAAAAAAATAGAATCCATTTTTTACATAAAAAATGTACAGAAAATAATTTTGACAGAAGTTCAGGGAAATTTTAGACTTAATGGGCATATTTTGGCTTTAGATTCTAGCTGGAAATGTATTGAATGGTGCGATAGTAAAATTGACGTTGGAAGGGATAGCAACAATCGATTGGAGATTAATTTCCCCCACTTATGACACTGTTTCGTGTAGTGTTTATATTGTGCCGTGGCTAATACCCAAATATATATGTATCCTTGGGAATTTCGTGAGCTCAAAATTCTTTCCATTAACACAATTCAAGTGCGAAGCATTGCTCAAAATATTTCATTATAAATAATTGAATGGATTGAGGAAATTTTTGCAGTTAATTAGATTTTGTTCACATTAATATTTTTTTGACTATTATAATATTTACAATTATCAACAATTATTATTTTCCGCAATAAAAAAAGAAAGAATTACAATCAAATGTAACTGGACAAGTTATTATTTCCCTAAAAAAATTATTTTTTCCCAAAAAAATTAATACCGGAAAATTATTTCCAAAAAAAAATTTTTTCACAAGTAATTTTGAAAAAAAAAGTATTTTTCCGAGAGATTTTTTCCAAAAGATTTTTTCCAAAGGAAAAAAGTCCGGACACCAATTTATGCCCTCCTCGTCCTCAACATGTTCTTAATGTTTTTCACGTGAATCATTTGCTGGCTAATTAATATTAAGGAATGAAACACAGACGGTGTGATGGAGAATTAAATCCCCCATCAATCGATCCCCGTTGCATCCCTTAATCTCTGTAACAAAAAAAACAAACTATGACAAAAGTCATAGGCCAGTGAGAAAAATAATTTTTCACTATTGACTTTTCACCATTCGCCCGCGAATTAAAAATTTGTCTCTCCCCTCCTAATTGAAATTAAGGGATGAAAAAAAAGCTGTTTGACGGAGACCTAAATTACCCATCAATTAACCCTCTCTCATCCCTTAATCTCTGTAAAAAATGGAAGAAACTGCCATGAAAGTCATGGGCCAGTGAGAAAAATAATAGTTTCGCGGCGCACAGTGACTCTCGGTAATTAAAAATTCACTTCTCCCCTCCTAATTGAGATTAAGGGATGAAAAAAGGGCAGTTCGACGGAGAATTAAATTCCCCATCAATTAACCCTCATCTCCGTCGAACTGCTCTTTTTTCATCCCTTAATCTCAATTAGGAGGGGAGGGGTGAATTTTTAATTACCGGTAGTCACTGCGCGCCGCAAAACAATTATTTTTCTTACTGCGCTGTGATTTCCATGACAGTTTCTTCCGTGCTTTACAGAGATTAAGGGATGAAAGAGGGTTAATTGATGGGTAATTTAGTTCTCCGTCAAACAGCCTTTTTTTCATCCC